AGAAGTATAAAAAATATGAATGATATATTTTTTATCCTTCAAAGAAGAAAAAAATAAATGATACACTTTCTTTCTTTTATAGTTGGTAGAATTTATGAAAAGTAGAATTTTTTTTTTTTTTTGTGTTTAGTATTAATGAAAAACAAAAGGATGAAAAAATATAAATACAAAATATATAATTGATAAATATGATATATATTAAATGATATATAGACAAATAACATACATTTCAACATACATAATTAACTTTTTATCTATTTTTTCCCTAATTTTGATGAGTTGAAAGGAAAATTAATTCATCTATTTTTGTATCTTTCTTATTTTCTTTTCTTACCAAATATAATATTTTATTCATCTCTCTAACTTTTCCATCCTTCTAATTTTTAATCCTTCCATTTTTTCCAACGTACGAATATCATCATCTCTATAAGCGTCAGAGAAGGGAGGAGTTTAAGCTTCAAAGCATTATCAAGAGTTTTCTGATGTACCTTCAAGTTTAAGACAAAAATAGTGATCTAGAGATTTGAGAACCCTTGATTTAATTTTAGACTTAAAATGATTAGAATTGTGAAAATAGAATTTGAAAAATTCGTGAATGACTCTTAGGTTTTTCATTTTGAAATTTTTTCTACAACTTAAATACGTTTTCAAAATATAGATTAAGTCATTCATCAGACCTTATTTGAACAACATCAGTTAGCACTCAAGATGACTAGTTTTTGCTTGATTTTTGGCTTCAAAACTAGTAAGGAATACCCTCTGCTTACTTGCTTTTCGGCTAGAGCAGTCTTTGAACGCTTGGTAATAAAATTGGAGGAGGCTAACAAGTTAGGGAATGAAGATTGCCCTTTAGCCTTTTGTAAGCCACTAAAGCAATTTGTAGACGGCTCAAGCAATCTCTGCTCCACAACTATGATTTGAATTCTTTTTTCATTCCAACAACAATCACCCTCTGACTTCTCTCTCATTGCTTTTCGTTTGCAAATTCTTGTTTAGTTGGACTATAAGATTTACCTAATTTCGGAATTATAAATAGGTTATTGAAATTTTTTTAAAAATTAAAATAGATTAAATCCCTAAACAAATCCTGATCATTTAAAGATAATTGAAAGATCTTCCAATTCTTTTTCAATTGAAGAGAAACATAACCTTTCAAGTAAACCTGTCAATTGGATCAACGATCTGAACTTAAAAGTATTATCCGATTATCTAGCATATTTTATTTTTATAGTTCATAAACGATTTCGTTAACAATTCAAACTTCGATACGATCCAAATAACGTTAACTAAAATTTAACAAATTATATTTAAATGTTATCTAAATTTTTTTAAATAATCATTGAATTTTTTAAATATTTATATATAAATATACATATTTTGGATCGACTTGTAATTGAATCAAATATCAAATATATGTATATCTAAATTCAAATCCTAAAATATAAAATAATGAATTTAAATTCGGGTTTAAATTATTAAAAAAAATAAAATATCAATCTTCATGTGATTAATCAGGTTAAGATTTGAATCAAATTTGTAATTAAAATTTAATCTGAGAGACTAGTTAAATTACCAACGAATCTTTAATCTAATGATAATTTTTATTTTACGAAAAATTTGTCTTCTTAAAATCAAGGATTCATACCCCAAAAAAAAAAAAAAAAAAAAGCTAGTTAAATTGACAGGCTCACAAGTAGTGGTATGTTTGGGTAGGGGTAGATCACATCCTATTCCAACTTCCAACAACGCGGCGCAGTGACTTATCATGCAGGTTGACGGTTGGCCCCGCCACTTGGCGCCATCGAGAAGAAAAGTATTGTCCTTTTACGTGGGCCCACACTGTCCTCGTCACGTGCCTATCCTGTTCATGTTCCTTAGACCGGTTGAACTTGAAAATAACCCCTAAATAAAATTGGGTCAAATAATTTAATCAAATGTGTTTTTTATTTCCCGGTAATTAGCAAATATGTTGTTTGTATGTATCTTTTTTAACTATTCATTCTATATTTTGTAATTATTTTTACTATCTTTTTAAATTTTTTAAATTTTTACTTATCTTTCTTCATTTTTTTGTACTTAATAAATAATATTTTAATTCATTAATAAATAATTTTTTAATAATATGAGGGTTTAAAAAAAAAAAATATGGTGATGACAGAGAAGATAAATTTCGTACATCACTCAAAATGCCTGCTAATTTATATTATTTTAATCCATCAATTTTATAATTTCTGCCACTTTAGGCGTTCAAGTTTATAAGGAAATGCCCACCAAATATGCTCACATGAGCTATACCTTGCTATCTCCATAACTGAAATACTTGCTATGTCATGTGCGTCATTTTGATTATGTGTTTAACACTAATTTAGTTTACTATTATATGTATTTCTTAATTATATTAATTTTAAATTAATGTTATACTAAGTTCACATCGTATTTGTGTGAAAAATCAATAAAATTGACATGTTATTCTTAACTAGAATCGTTAATCGAGTCGAACTTTTTGAACTCGATTTTTTTAAAACGAGTAAAAAATTGTTCAACCTCGGCTTGTTTAGAAAATGAGTCGAACCGAACACAAATAATTCGACTATTTTACATATAAATAGTCAATTTTTTACTAGTTGATAGTTTTTATTTTTAAAAGAATCTAAAAAATTGTTGAAGTTCAATTCGTTTATAAAACACGATTTGAATTTCAGTTAAATGTTATCTAAATTAAGCTCAAATTAAACCCGAATAATTCGAGTCGATTAAGAGCACTATTTTCCGAACACACTATTACTAATTCAGTAGCCAGCAAAATGTGGCCATTAGATTTCCTCAAAATAATTTCCAAACGGGACCCAAAACCTAACGAACACACGACACAGATACTTAAGTAGCCCCACTCCTAAACTAACATGTTAGTTACGGTGCACCTAATACCCACTATACTCCCTCCCATTATGGGCGATTAAGAAATGGTTACTTTAGCTAATTGAATGATTAAATAACTAATTTATACATAACATAGTGCCGCCGCTTGTCTCAAGTTGTGTTCACATTCACATGAATTTCGCACTCCCAAAAATGCCCTCCGTGATTCACCAAATTCGTCAAGTCATTTTGCGATCTACCAACTCAATATAAAGTTAATATATTTTAATTGATCTAATATACCTTATTCATTAAATTGGTAATGAGTTTCAATCAATAGTGAAATTTATTATCAATCTAATGATGAAGTGATTATGTTAATACTTTAGATACAAATAATATTATTCTTTGAATTTAGTCATTAGTAAGATTAACCACAATATGGGCGAATCCATCATTCACATTAAACAAATAAATTTATTTGAATTTTATTAAATATAATATACATTTGATAATAATAAGATACAATACAAATTTAATTATATAAGATTATAAATGAACTGGATACTATTTAACAAATTTTAATGTATACAATCTAAATTATTTAAAAAGACTACGAAGAGTCCATATTTAACTGGAGCAAACCCAATTAATGAGGTAGACCCAAATCAGCTACAAGGTGGGTCAAATTCAATTCATGGATTCGGCCCAGTCTAAAGTTTAATGAGTGCAGATTAGAGCATGTTGGGAGCAATTATCGAGATATTCACTCTCGAAGATCAAGACAATATTTAATTGTACTTACCTTTTGTAGCTCTCCGAAGATCTAATATCTTTATCCTCACGTCACCGCTCCAACTAAAGCTTTGTGCCTATAAATTGTAAGTTCTTTTGCACCTCTTGAGATTTCTCTATACCTCTCTACACACCTCATACATAATTTTTCTCTCTCCTAGCTATTGTATCTCTCTCAAGACTAACAATTGCTCTCTTTGTCTCGTTCACTTTATTTAATTAATAAAAGATCCCCCACGCCGCCGTTGTAGTTTCTTGGAGTGAAGTAGGTCACTTGAACCGAACCACTACATATTTATGTGTTGACAAAATATTTACTTTATTGTCATTGATTATTCTATTAATTGTCCATTAATTATACTTTATCACACACTTAACTATTAATCTTGTATAAAATCGTTTTATGTGAAATATCAAAATGTGTGAAAAAAATTTCTATCTAATAATGTTAAGTTAATCATATTCTACCGATCTTTATCAATGTCATCATTTTTCTTTCCATGTTTTATCAAAACTCTTCTTATCGTATAACATTAGGTCTCTAATTATTCCCTCTACTTATTCTTGTAACTTTAGGTCTTTAATTACAATAATAACTCTAATAAACTTAAAATATTGTAGAATATATGTATACATTAATAACTAGATTTAGTACAAATTAAAATAAAAAATTAATTATCCTAACACATAATTTATTTATTCAATTAAATTACACGTATAATTTAGAAGTTTAATAAGTTTGACAAAAATTTATTATTTAAATATGTTTACATGCAACTCTTCTTTCGAACTATTTTTTAAGTAGTATTTAACTTTTAAATTTTTTGAATTCCTTTATAAGTAGTACATTTATATAAAAAATTTCATATCTATACCTAAGTAAAGATGAATTTATATTATATTGTTATATACATATAATTATCAAATTAAATTCTAAGTTCAAATATGTTATATTTAATTTTTTTTCAATAAGGTTTAACAAAAAATAAAATATAAATTAATTTTTTGATAGCAAATTTATTATTTAATTTAATTATACATAAAATTTATATGTTTATAAATTTAACAATAAAATATTATTTAAATTATTCATTTTCAATGGTCCTTGTGGATTGTTACTTGCCATGTAGCCATAGAAGGGACTTAATAATTCCAATATGGAGGGTATTCTGGTCTAATCAAAAGACCACCTGGAAATTTGATGCGTGTGTTCTTTGACTGTAAAGTCCAGCTCTGCTCTTCTTCTCTTAACTAAAAGAAATCTAAAAGGCAAATCAAATATTATATATAATAAACCCATCAATCAAACTAAGATCTGAATGGCAAAATAAATATTATTGAATAAATCCATTAAATTAGGGAAAAAGAAGAGAGAGAGAGTACTGGTATTGTTCATGTTTAGGCTGTTTAACTTGAGCTTTGCTTCATTCATTCACTCCTTCATTGACACCCGCCTTTTTCGTACCCCCCTCATCATTTCCCCGTGTTACTCTCTTTCTCTCTCTGCATATACATATAGGTCTGTGTATGTATATATCACTATATAAATTTTTGTGTGTCTGTGTTCCAAAGCTTTGTTGCCTATATATAAAAGCCCCAAGGAAGAAGAGAACAAGATGATACCTGAGAATTTGGAATTCTCTTGTTCTGTTCTTCTGTCTAAGAATACAAAAGGCATGATTAGTTTCTCTCTTTAAACACGAAACAGATCAGGGGATGCGGTTCCTTCATTTGCCGTTGCTGCAACGAGATTTGCAGCGAACCCGTTGATGAAGATGAAGAAGATCTTCGTTTCTCAGTTGGTTCTCTTCATTGCTCTGTCAACTTGTATCGGCTTCATTTCAGCTCATTCACACCCCAGAGATCGTCTCAAGTTCATCTTAGGTTAGTTGTTTTTAGTTTTTTTTTTTTAATAATATATTGTCGGTTCTTGAAATGGTGGATATTTTTGGGTACGGAGAAATTGATTTTCTTGTTTTGGGTATTTTGAGACTCGGACCTTTTGTTTGCGTTACTGGGTAAACGAGAAAGTCCTAAACTGATTGAACTTGATGTCTTTGAAGCACTGAAATTGTTTTCTTGTTTTTGGTAGTGTGAGAATTGATTAACAGTTTCGAAATTTGGGTGTTTGTTGTAATTGTTTTTACATCTGTACATTAAATTATGAGAAACTATTAATAATTTTTGGTCGGAAGTGGCAATTGTATCTTTTTGTTTGGTAGTGTGAATTTCCAAGATATTATAATTGATTCTAATTACGTGTTAATATATGAGTAGGAGAAGAGAATTTGGGGTCTTGGAAGAATGGAATCTTGAATGCGGCAGCTGCACAAGCACCGGGGCCTGCAAGTGATGGATCAGTGACCACACTAGTGTTGGCAGAGCACAGGACAAATAGGCCCGATATTCTTCATGGTTTTCGGCGGTATCGAGGCGGATGGGACATTTCCAATAAGCATTACTGGGCTGTAAGTTATGTTCTCCGTTTTGTTGTTCCTGTGGTAATTTGAAAGTTTCAGATATGATAGCTGGTGATTTTTATTCTTAGATTTCGGTTGGATGGTTCCTTTTGGTTAGACGAATCCTTTAATGTATGGAAAGTTTGATCAATATTGGGCTGAATCTGAGAAATTTTCGGCGTATCGCTCAAAATTAATACATTCATTTGTTTGCTTTGAATTGGAATTGTGGAACTGTTTTTGAAGAGACTCTATATCTGCATAGGAATAGGACATTAAAATTGAGAAGAATAAGAGATCCAATGGTTGTTAGCTCCCTGCATATGTTGCCTTTGTTGAGAAAATTAGACTATAGGCTTATTGTGGAAAGGGGAATGCAAAATTGTAAACAAGACCAGGTTATTTCTTCTGACTTGAGGGCAAACGATTGGGGATAAAATGGATGATGTCATCGAATTAATCTTAATAAACCAATCATTTTGGTAGAACAAGGATGAAGCAAATCCTGAAGACAAGAATGTGTCCTGGGAAAACTTGACTGTCGTAACTTAATATACACTGTGCCTGCACCATAAACACATATTGCCTCTTTTTATGTTGCTTATAATATGTGAAAATCTGTACATTTTGTTGATTGATAAGGTATTGCCATAGCATCTTGAGTTGCTATATTTTCTTCTGCTAAAATTTCAGCTATCCAGAATATAAGAGAGCTAGTAGATTGTGAGCCAGCACAAAAAAAAAAAACAAAACAACTAGTAGGTTGTGGCTGCTATTTGTTTAGCTGTGGCCAAATCAAGCACTGATGTTTTACACTGTGTCTACAGTCTGTTGGATTTACAGGTGCTGCGGGTTTTATTCTTGCTGTTCTATGGTTTGTTTCTTTCGGCTTGGCTCTTGTAGTACATCATTGCTGTGGATGGAGAATAGATATTAAAGGCAAAGAATCACGGTGCTCACAAAGGATATGTCTGGTACTGCTGATTGTCTTCACGTGTGCAGCAGCGTAATAATCTGAACTCGAAAACTACAGCTACTCATATTAGCTATCTCTATAGTTACTTATGCCTTTACTATTTACTCGCTTTTGAAAGGTGAATCACTCTCAATTGTTGAGCTGTTCAGTTGGCAAGTCTGTTGGTCGGCCGTTCTCTGAACCTTAGAAATCAACCTCATATTTGAAGAGGATAGTATCTTGCTTTGAAATGACTTGGCAAGATCCTGTTGGTATTACTGTTGAATGCCCTCTGTCCGGGGCATAAATATATTAGAAACTAAAAAACTGAAAGGGCCATGCCCGATATTAATACTTTCCAATTTTCTTTCATCGGTTTTCTAGTTTTTTGACATGTGTTGTCAATTCATAGAATATCATTATATTATCAGTGGGCTAATTGGTGCCAAAATAGGCACTGATATGAGAATTTACTCTGACTGTGTTGTGTTCAAGGATGTAACAGTGCTGTCAATGAGGAGGTTGAAACTAGCAAGTAAATGGAGTTTTAACCTCTAAAATTCTGAAATCCTCACTTGATTAGGTTAGTTGAATATGCGGCTAACAAGATTGGTCTGATTTTGCCTTTCTTTGGCCAATTTGCTGAACATGAGCATGGTAAAGGTTGACAGAATTAGCATTCCACTTTTTGTTTCTGGCTTCTCCCATAGGTGCTTGTCTAATTTTGTTTCTCGAGAGTTTCAATTTCCTGATGCTACCATATTGAATTTGGTTGTTCGTACTTCAAAGGAAATTATGTCTGGATCTTTTAGCAAACGCATCATCAAACTGATTTTCATGTGGTTTTTGTCTTCATTTCCTAGAGTCTAAGGAACTATTGTTCTTCTAATGTTCTTTTGGTTGTGACTTCATGTCTGATATAGTTACAGGTTTTATATTTATTTTTATGGCTTCTATTGATAAAGTCTTCGTACTAACTGGTATGATTTAGGTGAAACTAGTTTAAATGCAAGCTTAGTTTCATTGGAAGATTATAGTTGGATCCGCAATGTGTTTTTGTGACATAAATTGGATGCAATTTGGAGTATTTGGGACACATAATTGGAGGTCCGATTTTTTACTGTGTTATCATTTTATTCAAACCATCTTATCTATTTTGGTGAGACAAACCATCTTCTTATCGCTTTAGCATACACTTTTTAAGAATTTCGAACTCCAAGGAGCTAGACATTTGTAACCTTACAATTCCATGGAATTTTGTAAGTTATGTAGTTGATTGCCAATGTGGCTATGTTTTGTTAAGGTTGGCCATTTGCCTATTGTCATTTTTGTTTACACACACACATTAACAAGTTACTTATTTGTTTCACTCATTATATGCTCTAAATCATTGTCATAGTCTCAGTCTAAATCCTATTTATCTTCTTGTCACCCAGGGTTGGATGTATTGTTCTATCAGTTGGGCAGGATGAATTTCATGATGAAGCATTACATACTCTGAATTATGTTGTAAACCAGTCAGACTACACTGTTCAGACGCTGAGAAATGTGACGGCCTATCTATCACTTGCAAAGACTGTTAATGTGGCCCATGTATTCCTTCCTTCTGATGTCATGGATGGCATTGACAAGTTGAATGCAGACCTAAATACTGCAGCAGATACACTGGGACAAAAAACAAATGAAAATTCTGGCAAAATAAGAAGAGTCTTCAATAATGTGTATGATGCCATAACCTCTATGATATCATGTTTCTATTTTGCAATTTTTGCAACCCCCAAGTTGACAGCCACATGATTGTTGCAGGCGATCTGCATTGATCACTGTTGCAGTAGTGATGCTTCTCGTATCTCTTTTGGGTCTTGGTATGTGTTATCATAAAATGCCTTTACCTAAATCTTTAGTTTGCACATCCACTTAATCATTCGTCTTTGAAGCTTAACGGTGTTTTGTATTCTATCCTATACAGTCCTGTCTATCCTTGGGTACCAACACGCAGTTCATGTGTATGTTTTCTTTGTGATTGTTCAGTTGGTGATTTCCCCTTCAACAACAAAAAATGATCTTATAGTGCTCTGGTTTTGAATTTTCTCACTCGACCTCCATATTGGTGCAGATTCATCGTTAGCGGATGGTTACTTGTGGCAGTTACATTCATTCTGTGTGGGGTTTTTATGATTCTCAACAGGTAAGATATAGGATTGGATATTAGCGATGTTTAATTTTCCCTCGGAGAATATTTTGAGGTTTTATTCAATATATAGATAGTGAAATTGCAATTTGTACCTTGGCAATTTTTTTTGTATACTCAACGTCTCATTATTCATATATTTTTCATTTCCCATGTTGCTTTTGGCAATTAGTTCAAATTCATTTGCCTCGGAGAAGTTCAAATTGTTGCTTTTACCTAGTCCTTTTTCAGCTGATCAATTTGGGATAACGTCTTTTCTGATGTCATGATTAGCAAATGTATATGTTTTAAGGTCCTCATAATTGAATGAAATTCCACATTGTCTTAATTATCTTATTTATGGTAATTTTCCCAGGTTAGATAAAATTTTCCATACTTTATGTTAGAAGCTTTTTTCTTTTGCTGACAGAATGATTTTTGATTCTGTGTTCAGTGCAATTTCAGACACCTGCATGGCCATGGGGGAATGGGTGGATAATCCCCAGGCGGAAACTGCCCTTAACAACATCCTTCCATGTGTTGACCAAAAAACCACAAACCAGACGTTGGTCAAGAGTAAACAAGTCATAAATGACATTGCAAATATTGTCAATGGCTTTATAGACACCTTTGCCAACTCAAATCCACATTCTCAGAGCGATCCTAATTATTTTAACCAGTCAGGGCCTCCTATGCTACATCTCTGTTATCCATATGACAATCAACTGCAAGATCGCGAATGTTCATCCCAAGAAGTTTCTATGGCAAATGCTTCTCTGGTACGTGATGAAATTTTCTTATTGGCAGAGCATGTTATAAAAATTATATTATGAGTAGGTCAAAAATGTTCGATCAATTTAGTGAAAATCAGTAAGAAAATATAAAAAGATAAAAATCATGAATCAAAAGGGAAAACTAGCTCAAAGTGTATTTTTTCTCATGTGCTATTGTGACTGTCAATTATCCAGTGGCTGACACCCTTTAGTTACACAACCTAAAGTTCTTTTAGCAGCCTGCATTACCATATCTCCAAGGCGTTTTGAACTTAGAAAATTGACTTGAGGGATCTTTGCTATATTAAGCTTGAATTCCAAATTAAATTTTCGTTCTCCTTTCATTTTCAAGATGTTTTAATGCCTTCCTGATAAGATCGGGAAACAGATGAATAGTCGATTTCCAAATGATTTTGAGATGGCTAGAACTGGAAATTAATTTGGTCTTAACTTTCGATACGAGGTAAAAAAAAGCGTGGCCATGTACACGAATTTTTAAATTTAGCATTTTGGCTCTCTGAAGTTCATCATCTTTCCAAAAAAATTTCCCCTAGAACTGTGATTGAACTATATTTATGTGAATTTCCAGGTTTGGCAGAATTACACTTGCACAGTGTCAGCGTCTGGGTTTTGCACTAGTGTTGGGAGGTTGACCCCAGACATGTACGGGCAATTGGTGGCAGCAGTTGACATAAGCTATGCTCTTGAACACTACACCCCACCTTTGCTTAATCTCCAGAACTGTAATTTTGTACGAGATACCTTTCACAATATCACCTCGGATTACTGTCCTCCATTGGAGCACCATCTCCGCGTTGTAAACGCAGGACTGACTCTTATATCAGTAGGGGTCATGCTCTGTCTCGCCCTTTGGATGCTATATGCAAACCGCCCCCAAAGGGAGGAAGTGTTTGCGAAGCTTTCCTTACGAATAAAAGGCAGCTGCAAAGGCAACAACACTCGCAGCAACGATGTATCATCAAGATGCACAACACCAAGGAGTGAAGTTTAGATTAGAATCCATATTTGTATGGAGTTGTTTAAACCTTTGTTACAGGCAGAAGCCAAGCTAGGGGGCGAAGCACCATTGAGCTTTGGGCTGCTAGCCATTTTATTGTATGCTCTTCTTATCGCTCTATAATAGTAAAGATGGAAGTTGTTTCTGTCATTTGTTATTTTGGGTGGATTCGATCAGTTTATATCTTTATTGACATGCTATGACTTGCATCGCGAAAAAATGGTTCATTTGCAACACACGTGCAAGTCAGTATCGAATCAAATTGTTTTGTCATAAAGGGTAAACTATTGCAAGCAAGGTGGTTAGACATCTTGGGGCGAAAGGAACCAAATTTCTCTGATATTGGGACCTTTCTTGATCAAATGCACGAGTATGCAAAGCTTGTTGACGGTTTTCAACTCGATGGATTAGAAGGAATGACAATATTAGGATATGACGGTAGAATTCAAGAGATCCATCACTATCTATATGATTAAGATTAGGATATGATGATAGGATTCGAGAGATTATTTTTCACTGAATAAACATTCTGTGGTACTTGGATCTTATCAGCATCTCCTAATTCTAACTATGTAGATAATGATAGATCTCTTAGATCCTATCATCATATTTTAATAGAGAACCCTATTGTTAATTGTGTTAGCAAAATATACTTTGAATTATAATGAACTCAAGTGTTGGAGGGGAGTTTGTTTTGCATAGTTGATAATTAATATAACTTTGGCATTTCTTATCGAAAAAAAATTTAAATTTTTTTTTTTTATACTCTCCATAATTTTATATAAAAATCACTTTTGAAGAAATTTAATCCAAAATGAGTGATGACCCATTTATATCCTTCAGAGTAAAGAAAAACATTCTTCATTTTGTTTAATCTCAACATTGAAGAGGAAAAAAATCTTGCAAGAATTTTACAAAAATTCTTTTATTGTAAAAAACCTTTTACATGAAATCTGGCCATGTTATAAACACGTAGATATAATTTATTCTTGAAAATCGATTATGCTTTTGTAACAAAAATTCTTTTATTGTAAAAAATCTTTTCACATGAAGTCTGTTCATGTTATAAACACTTGGATATAATTTGTTCTTGAAAATCGATTATGCTTTTGTAACTCATATATACAATGACCCACTTTTGACACCGGCTTAAAGACTTTTTTTTTTTATTGTGTGGGTTTATTCACCGATCAGTATTCAATGAGATAAATATTATGCCCTTATATAATATTAAATAATTTTAATTATGTCTATAAGTGATTTCTCCGGTGATTCGACCACAAAAAAATTTGATCCTAGTGGTTGTTAGCTCCAGTCTACCTATAGATTGAACTTTTACTCCTGAAAACCGTCTTTACTGCTCAATAATTTATTTTTTTTGCTGATGATGATGGTCTTATTAATATATATACATATTTAATTTTATTTTTAATCCACGAGGGATGCCAAGTATTTCCAACGTGGACATGAATTGGTAAACCGTGGCCGGCCATGTCATCCCTTTGCTCCAAAGCCAGGTTGATGGTCAGTGCACGATGGTCCACACATCTAAAGTGGACGGAAAGCGTAATACGCACCTTTCTCCGCTGATTTCCTCACTGAAACAGATCATCGTCCTCGTCAAAACTTTCGAAACAGACCATCGTCCTCGTCCTCGTCTCCGTCTCTCTCTCTCTCTCTGTGCTGTTTCTCTTCTGTCTATATCTACGTTCCTATATCGATCTGTTTTGTCCATGTCTTCAATTCTTGTGCTTCTGATTCTTCTTTTCTCGAGCTTCGAAGCATCGGATTCAATTTCAGTTGGATCGCGGTCAATTCTCAGAGCTATTAACAACAAAGACGGTGAAAAACATGACTTTGCTGTTGATTTGAACGCTACGAGCTTCGATGCAGTTCTGAGAGAAACACCGGCTACATACGCCATTGTCGAATTCTTCGCACACTGGTAAGTAAACTTTTATAATTCTACAGCTCGGGTATTAGTTGATCTATTGTGTGTCAATGGAGAGTCTTAATCTCTGATGTCGAAAAATAATTTATTCAGAAACCTATTCAAAAGTATTGAATTAGGAACTGCTATTGATTTTGATAATGTTTTGTCCTTACAGAGATCTATGTCACTGGGACATTGATGAATGTACTATTGAAATTAAACAACACAACTTATGAAGGCCTAAATGTATCGACTCAATCTGTTGGGTGATTAAAAGTATTCTGATCTTATTGCAAAATTTGTAAGATTTGAACTAACTGCGATGTTGTTTCACTTGTAAGGCCTTTTTATCTACCGTAAGAGCTGCACTATCTAGAAATTCGGCCAATTGTACTCAGTAATCAACAATCCTTAGCGACTTTTTCACCCTATAGCTTATCGGGAAGGGTGGTGTGGTTATCTGTCCATGCCCTAATTTCTGTTTTCATAGATCTCTCTTCCAAATCATTATCCGAGAACTCAATGACATTAGAAGGTTGAGCCACTCTCAGTATCCTTTTGCAATAATACAACTTGTAGCATTTGGATTGGGAAGATTTGGAGAACTGTGGCTAGGTTACACAAATCATGTTAATTTGGTCTGTAGTAATTGCCTTCCTAACTTGAGAGTGAACAAAAGTTTTGTTAAAAAGATGAAGATGTTCAGGTTTTCAACGGTATTTATGGGTTGTACAGCATCAAGCTGATCAGGATGAAGAGTTTGAGCAGAAGATCAACTGTCATGCTGTGGGGAAGATAAAGCTGAAATAAGAATTTTCCTTCTGAGATATTCTTTGCCTGAACTTGTGGTCTATAGCATATGGCAGGACATGGATACAACATGACATAGCCATGCTGACATTGAGACTTCAAAAAAAGTGACACAATCACTAAAAAATATACAACACCAAATTTAAATCTCACGCATCATACACGACAAACAATACTTATGGTAAGTTAATTTATTGTCCACTGACTTACATAAAATGTGTTTGTTGTATATTTGTTCATCTCTATGTAAATGATTAGTTGCGCACACATTTATGGCTCCTCTCTTTCCCTCACTATACATTCCTTCAGCAGAACCTTTCTATGTCTTGGCTTTCTTTTGAAGTATCGTGAAATTCAGTTTTTGAATCATATAATCCTTGACACAGACTTTTCTCAATAACTACACTTCTGTATACTCCAGTTTCCTAAGTTTTCAGATTACATTTTGTTATTTCACAATTTCTTGGGAACGCTTCTGTACGTAAATATTTTATTTTTAAATTGAAGATATACATACTACATGTGTCAAGTACATGCTTATGGGTCTTTGAGAAGTGTCGATGACCTTGTCATTACACAGCTACTCTTGGAATTTTTCATGCTTCTTAGATATTTGCGTATACATTATGACCTTCCTTCTAGAAACCACTACTTCCCTATCTTCTGGATAACTGACAAGCAATAAAATGAACTAAAAAGTACCAAAGAGGCACAACCTAAGTACGTGCCTTGTGTAGAAGGACAAAACAACTGTACAGAGGCTATAAAAACAGCTCATTAAACAATCTGCATGGTAATTGTGATGACCTACATTAATCTTGCTAAAATAGAAAGCCAAAAATACACAGTTCATTATAAACTGCATCATCTCCACCTTTGCACAAAAGCTTAAGAGGCATGGACACTTTGTAGAAAGTAGTGTGTACATGTTAGACATGTGCTTGACACTGATATGTCTGACACCGTGAACATGTGCTCGATGCTCGCTTGGCTGATCCATATTAGAAAAGTTAATTTTGGACACGTGTTCGACACTTTTTGGATAACTGAAGACATGTAATTAGCAAAATTGGGAAGTTGGGACATGACTCCTCATATCATGAAAATTATGGAAATCAAATAATATGTCTGCCTAGAACGTATTAGCAAGCTCTTAATTAAGTTAAAAGCAAAGTGTCTCATGTAAAGGTTTAATTAAAGGATGGGGTATGACAGGATGATAGGTTTCAATGCATGCTTGTTGTGCGATAAAGGGTTTGGTCTCTTGACATCCTGGCTAAATATGTCCCCTCGACTACCTTGCCAAGCCTGCACTACTTTCACCATTGACCCAGCCACTTACAAGATTAACGGCATGAGAAGAGACCACTACTGTCTTGACAACCCATAGCTTATAGTATAAGATTAATGACACTCTCCGCTATCTCACACTTCCAAGACCATTTAGGAAGGATCTTTCCACTTTTTATGTAATTGGCTATTATTCTCCAAATTTTCTCAGACAACCTTCCAAACAAGGTAGACCATTTTTTTGGAAGTGGTTGCATCTTCTAGATTCCTGCTTGTAGGAATGAGGAAAGCCACAACTTATGCAAGACATTGCCTTATGCCAATGAGAAGAAAGTAACTACATTTCTAACTAGAAGCATAAGTTGATACCTCTATGGAGATGATTCTCATGCAATTGAAATGATGCTAAGATTCTATTTAAAAATAACACATTGGTCAATCCTCTTTAATGAGGATATGGGATGGGTAAACTAAGATCTAACTTTTGGCATTATTTGTACAAAATGGTAGCCCTTGGTTTCGATCCACAACATTGGGCCTAATTTTAACTACCGAACCAACAACCCTCTATTTAAGATTCTAAGTAGAAAGTATAAATAGTTTCTTTCATATATTTTTTGTTTCTGAATTGCCTAATGTCTTTTTCGCAATTAGCGTTGAGCAAGAAGATGAACTTGTCTTGATGGCTCTTTCGCGTCTCTTAAGTTTGCGAGTTTTCCACTATTCTTTCTTTATTGGGAAATATTTTTCAAAAAGGGAAAGACTTTTAGGGATTTTTATTCTGAGGTCGTTGGATGCGGAAATGTAGAGCTGCTCTTATACTTTGATCTCACTAACGGCTAAAAACACCTTTCCAGATCCCGTCTTTTAGACAAATTCAAAGTTGTATTGGAAGATCAACCGATTTTCCATCTTATTTCATCCTTTCCGACATTGCTGATAGGCTTAATGTAATGATCTCTTTGTAGGATGATGACTTCCTTTTTCCACTATAACACCATACACTATACAATAATCATCGTGCTTTGTCTCCAAACCTCTAGAACGTCAATATTGTTGTATCGTCCTCTAGTAATTGACAACCATTACTCGATGTTGATATGAAGTGACCATCTACCTTGTTATGGCATAAATTTGGGCAAACAAATAGTTTGGCATCTTGTATATACCATGGCGTATCTTATAACAATTATAATTTTTTTTTTCACTTTTATTTCATGGAGGGGTACAATTATCTTGATTATCTAGTTTTACGAATTTTAGTTTCAGAATGTTCAACTCCAAATCAATTGGCGATGAGGGGAGAGACTGATCAATCATATAAATTGACGTTGAGTTGCTGTACTTTTTCAATATGGGATAGAAGCTATTTTCTACACTTTCTTTCATGTGGGGCCTGGGATTGCACTAATGACTTAAAAAGCAACAACCAAACATAATTGCCATGAAATTCAAATAAGTAGGAGTTTTGGCAGACTAAACACCCGAGGCCCTGTTCTGATACTATGTTAGAGCATTGAACTCAAAAGATTGATAATGAATTGAGACACCCTTCAACCATATAAACATATGTCGGGTGTCCCCAATGTTTCAATGTGAGAAATAAGCTTTCTTTACACCTACTGAAGTATAATTTTTTGTTCTTTTATTTAACAACTATTCTATCAAAATGTGAGTTTATGTAACTGCAAGTTCTACTGTAGATAAAGGAGAGCTATGCCTTTCATTGATGTTTATTCGTCTCAATAGACTAATTATTAGTGATCTTATGATCATATCAGTTTCTTATTGATGCAAATGACCATGCAATTAAAGTTCTGTGGGTGTGTATGTACTTCCTGTGCCTAATTGTGTCACCTTCTTATTGTGTTCTAACTATTTTTTCTCTTCACATGCCACCATTTGTCTTGCAGGTGCCCGGCTTGCAGAAATTATAAGGTAGTCATACACCTATTGTCATGTATATCACCTTGTGGGAATATTTTCTTATGTTGAAAACCCAACTTTGCAGGCCCAATATGAAAAGGTCGCAAGGCTCTTCAATGGAGCTGATGCTGTTCATCCAGGCCTCATATTGATGACAAGGGTAGACTGTGCATCAAAGGTATTGTTGCATACTTATGTGATACTTCCGTACTAACATAAGTTTTGCATGTGGTATGCTTATGCTGGTGTAATTATATTCCTAAAAATGAGCTGTTCTTTATGTATACCCAAGAGTTGCAGTGTTGTACACCCTATCAGGAGAAAAATGATAAAAGCTATAATGTAGAATATATGATTGGTGATATGAAGCAGAGAATTTATTCGTAAAGTGCAGTGCATGGAACTTTATTATTTTTTACTTACCACCAAAAGAAATTTATTTGGTCTTCTTCTTTATTGTTTTTTCTATGAGGCGTGTTATTATACTGCCAATAATAGTAGTATGCATTTATGTTTTTTATAGGTATATGTGCGACTGAATATAGTCAAAAAAAAAAAAGGGGGGGGGGGGTGCTAGCAAGGTGTTATTGCACAATTGTCATTGAAATAATACAGATTTGTGATGCAGTTCAAGTCCGAAAAAAATCAATTGTAATTATGTCGACTTGTTTTGATTTTTCAAGTTAAGAAACTGTTTTTGAAAAAGGGCTAATAATGGTGAATTCACTAGGATCGAGGATGGAAACTTCATTTACTTGATCCACTATCTGAGTAAATAGAAATCATTTCAATTTTACAACTAAGATATAATATTTAGCTAGAAGCTATGCAGTTACTGGGTTCTATGTAGCGCTACATTTCCATAACTGGAAGTTCACATACAGTTTTCATTTTTTTTTGCCTTTTTTAAGGTTATTCTTCTTATCCATGTGCTATATTCATTGCCAATATTGGATTTGTATCGGTTTTTTTTTATCAGAATATTTGTATCAGTTTGGCAGATTGCTTTTAAAGTGTGATATATTGAAACACCAGTTAGACATCAAAGTAAATGTGATATTTAAAACGGTTTACAAAAATTTAATAGATGTGCTTTATTTATGTAAACCATGCACATAAGGCTGTGACCTGCTATCCCTTATTTCAACACTGCTCTTCTGGTACATATATGTTGCTACTTAGTACCTTTAAAGTTTCTTGGAAGGTAGATTAACATTTGAATGAAGTTTGGTGTTTCATGTGGTGGCTATAGCTTGTGACTGTGGTAGTGTAAACAAGGATATTTCTTTTAATAATCATAATCACCGAGATGATTCCTTAAAACATATGTTGAAATTTCACAAGAGCTTATCCATAAGTGACCCTCTTTGAATTGTGAGCAAACTAAAAGAAGAATAGAATTCTGCTGATATTAAGTTGCTAACTTTCAAATCTGATCAAGTGAAGTTAATTAGAGATTACCAGATCAGCTAATTATCAATAAATCCCATTCTTAAGTTGACGAAGGATCGCTATTCATGGTATAACACCGGTTCATCCATTCTGCTCCTTAATGTCTTTTAGAGAAATACTTGTTTCTTGATTGATACACATAGCAATATTTGGACTTCATTAATTGACATATGAACGAAAAGGTTCTCTTACACTTTCATCTAGTTGTTTTAACAAGATGCAGCTTCGCCTAAATTCACTAAATTTACAGAATTATATCAACAGAGGGTAAAACAATCCTCATCACCAACGATGAAGAAAAGAAAGCATGTGCATGTTGTGACGTGATGCCCATCAGTGTCTCTTCTACCCCAGTTCCGGCTCCCTCTGTGGCAGTCAGGGTTGTGTTCGGGCTTGGGGTTGCCTTTCTTTTATTCCCTTTTCTTTTCTTGTTTGAGTGTTGTGTTTAACTTTTCTTATCTTGGGTCCTTACATACTTTCCTTTTTTCCGCCTTAAAGTTTTTGTATTTTTTGTTTCAACTAGAAAACCAAGAAAGGAAAAAGGAAAAAATAAAGATGAGCATGTCAGCATTCACATTCTCTTTTTTATTGCCCGGGAAAAGCTGAGCTTCAGATGATTATTTCCATAGCATGACTAAGCTTCTGTGCAGTTTCTTATTTTGTTTTCTTTTTTTGGTTATTCAAGAATCATTCTTATACTCCCTGTCTCTTTCTAGTAATACTCTTGTGATGATATACTCTTTTTGTTTGTTGTTGTTGCTTTCCTCTTAAATCCCCTGTTACTTTGTAACAGTCCCTTTTCTTAAGTTATAGCTTAGTGATTCGTCCTCTCCTTTTGACTTGTTTGGCAGCACAGGTAAATACAAATCTTTGCGATAAGTTCTCTGTGGCTCACTACCCAATGCTTTTTGGGGCCCTCCTTCAAAGTTCGTCTCTGGTGGTTGGGATCCAAAACAGGACAAAAGTGAATTACGTCCCATTGACGATGGACGGACAGCTGACCATTTGCTAAACTGGATCAATAAGCAAATGGGCAGGTATGAGACATCTTTGCTCAACACTTATCTCTGCCATGATCGTTTTTATTTTATTTTATCATTTCTCCCATCTCAGAGGTTTTAATTATTATCCAATTGAAATTGTCAGTAAATGAGAGAGAGTACTCCGTTAGTTTCATACCATTGAGGTTCATGTAATTGTTATCGAAGAACAAGGCATTGATTTATTTTATTCCATGGAATTCTGTATCAGTTCTGTACTGTAGGAGTGAATATTCAGTGTAACGGTTACACCACGTTAGCATTGCCTCGTGGTGTAACCCTCCAATGTTAAATAAACTGGACAAGGTGACCCCATTTTTTTACATGGGGTGGTTACTATCTTAGATGGAGGGGTAGTTATTTGAATGAGTGGGGTGCACTTTTTCTATTTGGCGGGTATTACACCACATTGCCACTAACTTGGTATAACCGTTATATTTACTCGTACTGTGGAGAAGTTATGAAGTTTCAGAGAGGAACGAAAGACAGAACTCTGGTGGACCATGGACTATGGATGAAATGGTCCTGAGGTAATAAAAGGAGTAATAAGATGAAGATGATTTCCTGGAAAATAAGTTCGAACATGCTTGAGTTTAACATCTTTCTAAAAGATATTAATTGGTTTCTGTTGAAGTGTATAACTGTTGCAGAAAAGTGTCTCCTAAATGTCTCGTGAAAAAAATGGAAGGGGTCTATGGAAAAGCAAGAAAAGAGATAACAAGGAATACAGCACATAGTTTATGCATCACTGGTTATTCTCATTTGCAAGTATCTGGTGGCTGAATCTCGTCCTTACTCCCAGGATTTATGTGATATTTGGTGCTTGACTCAAATTCTTGACATTTGAACAAAACTCATTTTAGGTTTTCTCATACGGGAACAATCATCAAGGAAAACAACGACGACAATCATTATTTTTTGAATTCTTTGATGGCTTGGGGTTTATGTGTGATACATTCCTGGGCCTGTACTTGGATTTTTTTTACGTAATATGTTGAACATGGAATAGTAAATGTTTGTGATTTAGACACAATATGTTGTCACATTCATGAAACACTTTGACATTGGCAGAATATATTCCTACACTGTTACGATTGATATACTTGTCCTTTCACGTTCCAGCTACTTTGCTGTTCCTTTCTCAATTCATCCTTCATCTTTCTCTCTCTCTCAAAGTGCTTGTTGGTGGGTTGGGCGGGTTTCTATCGTATTGTATGGGTTGCTGCTTCTGGTGTTACACCATTTATATTTGCTTCCATTTGGTGACATTATGTCATTTGATCTTCACTACTGCTGTTACTACCGACATATTCATCTGATTTTGAAGCTTCATATACGTTTTAATATTGGCGTGAATGCTAATTTTTGACGAAAATAAAGATTCTTAAGTGTGGAGTATTAATTCTGTATGGAACTAGTTGTAGGCTGATCTGGGTTTTTGTCATCTAGTTGTAGCTGGAAAGAATGAGTAATAATATTTTTTTTCTCACTTTTTTGCACTTCGTTTTTAAGCATTTGAATTTAAGAAGCAAATGGCCCATTGAAGGCTTTTAACAATTAAATTCAATCATCTTTTATTGGATCAATGTGTTAATCTGTAAAGGGCTCAATGAGAGAGAGAGAGAGAAATTAAATCATGTTATAGTTAAATGAGGAGAATTCCTTTGCTGATATTGTTGCACCTTAAAACTAAAGTGACACTTTTGTCCTGAAAATTGTAGATTAGTCTTACCAGCAGCCTCAAGGAGGGTATTTGGCTGTATATAGAGGGCTTTATCTGTGGATCCCCTCATTGTCCATCGTTTGGTGAAGTTCTTTATGAGTGTGGACTTTGTATATTCATTATAAAATGTATTATGAAGACCAGTGTTATTTAAGGCGTAAAGCGAACCGAAGCGACCAAGGCTCCTAACGCCTAGGCGAGAAGCGAGAAGCGAAGCGACACGCTTTACCGAAGCAAAGCGAACAGTTAAAAAAAATATATATTTTAGTTTAATTACTTCTAAACAATCTAAGTTCTAATTTTATATATACTAAATATTTAAATGCATGTAAAACCATAAACATTTAAATTAAAAAAAACACTAATAATATCTCAAATCTTAATAACAGTCATAATTTAAACATTTAAATTCAAACAAATACTAACAATTGTATACATTTTCATATTGGCAGGGTAGGACAACAAAAGAAGCAGAATCAGGACAACAACAGAATTAGCAACAAAAAAAAGAAGAAGCAGAATGACAATTAAAAAAAAACAAAAGCAACACAGGATAGCAAAATCGAAGCAGCAACAGAATCAACAAAAAAAAAATAGAAGCAGAATGAGCTAAAAAAAAAACAGAAGCACAATAATCATGACAGGAGCAGAATCAATTGTAAACAATTTCATATGTAATTATATACTGAATAAAAAAAAGCAGAACAGAGGCACATTTCACATGTACTAAAATAATTAAACATGGTATAAGCATAGACCACTTTTTGGTACCATTTGTATATATATAAGAAAAGAGAAAAGTATAACCAAGACATATTAGAGACACTTCTTTGTAGAAGAATTTATTATTTACCCCCATTTCTAATACTCCTGCTTTATTTTTTTATCATAATTGTCATGCAGTGTAGTCGCCTGACTCCCACATCCCACAAATATTCTAAATGAATTCAGCAACACAAGGAAAAAAAGGAATGTGTTTTGTTCGAAACATTGTTTATTAGAAAAAAAAAAAATAGACCAGCAATAGTCTAAAAAAAAAGTCATAGTGATTAAAAAATAAAAGAGACTACTAACCTGTAATCAGAAAAAAAAAAAAAAAAAAAAGTGAAGCAGAATCGCTTTTTATAATAAAGCGTTCGCTTCTTCGCTTTTTCGCTTTTTCTCGCTTTTTTCTCGCTTCACTCACGTTCGCTTCGCCTGGGGTCCTCCAGGCGAGATAAGCTCGCCTCGCCTCGCTTCTCGCCTAGGCGAGCGCCTAGGCGAACTTTTCAAAACACTGATGAAGACATGCGAGCCTAGTCCAAAGTAGGCAATATTGGACCATGACGTGTTTGGGGCATTACAAATAGATCAAAGCTAGCACCAACTAGAAGTGTGGGGATTGCGACTGTTGAGATTGACTGGCAGACCGTCAATGCAACAGTACCCATGATGGCTGAGGTTGACTGCCGAGAAGGTCGATGTAGTGGTATGGTGGGTCTATGGAGCCAGTTATCCCACAGTGCTTGGTGAATGTGAATAAAGTGTCCTATAAATGTAGACTTTGGACATTCATTGTATAACGTGTTTAAAACCTTGTGGCCTAGTCGAGAACGAAAAATATGATACAATGACGAGACTGAGGCATTTAATTGTATTGTAGCTTGTATAACGTGTTTAAAACTGTGCGGCCTAGTCGAGAATGAAAACTATGGTACAATGATCTGAGGCATTACATTATATTGTAGCCTCTAACTATTGACTTAGACACTGTCTGTCCTGCTCTCTACTCCTTTATATTTTTTATCCTGCTTTTTCTTTGCTTGCATTTCTTGATCAAGCATTCCTGTGCTTAACAAACCCTTATCCAAACTGATAGAGGTACCTTGACTCACTTATGAAATAGTTGTTGGGGCTGGGCACTGGGAATTGGACTCCCCAGACCAGCAGCACCAAGCTTAAAAGCACACACATATGATGGACCATACACAAACAAAAGAAAGAAGAAAAGGCTGTGATCCTCAACCTGTGTTGTTTTTGTTTCTTCCCTGATGATGAACTCCTGCCTTATGGTGCTCTATACAAGCAAAAGAGAAAAGACTATGCCAGGCATGTTTAGAACTCGAATCTAAGTGTGAAGGCCCCCTATCTGCCTTTCGTTTTCTTCTTCCCTGGCCGTGTGTGGGCCAAACTTTAGAAAGGCCCTATTGGGGCCTTTACTTCTTTGTTTGAGCATATGTAGGTGGGTATTATACATGATCTTCATTCATTAAACCTAGTGACTTTTGCCTACTATGTGTGTGTGTGAGAGAGAGAGATGAGGTGATTATAAAAATGTAAGCAAGCTCTTGTCATGATTATATATGTTGCATACTCAGTGTGTCAGTCTTTCACGAGCTTTATCGCGTGATGAAAAGCATTTGGCGTAAATCCTTTGCTACTGTGGTACTTTAAGTTAATCCCTGATTATGTATGCTTATATATTGCAAATGTTTGCCCTATTCCTAACTGGTTCTGTCTGCACGTTTATCTTGCAGCTCATATGGTTTGGATGATGAGAAATATGAGAATGAGCTTCTTCAGACGAATGTGTCTGATCCTGGACAGGTCTTTCAAAAAGCATAGCTCTGATCGTGCTTTAATCTTTACAAATTAAAGCTCTTGTTGTATATGATATTAACTTTTGTAATATTTGGCTTGCCAAAGATTGCACGTGCTGTTTATGATGTTGAGGAGGCAACATCCACCGCCTTTGATATAATTTTAGGCCACAAGGTTACCACCTGTTTCATTTTGCCAAATGTTGTTGCTTTGCACATCTTAATCTTTCTGGCTTTGATCCACATGGTAAATGCATCACACAGATGATCAAACTGGAGACTCGGGCATCACTTATTAAATTCCTTCAACTTCTGGTGGCTCATCACCCTTCTAGGAGGTTAGCTAGCATCCACCACTTCCGTATCCATACCTGATTATGGGTGTGATACCTGCCTGATTTTTTGAATCTTGGTTTTTTGTATCAGGTGCCGGAGGGGAAGTGCAGAAATACTTGTAAACTTCGACGACTTGTGCCCATCAGATATGATGTTGGACAACAAGCACGAGTCTGTCATCAGTTGCGGAAACAGAACATTGGGGAATTCCCATATTTGTGGAAAAGAAGTTCCTCGTGGATATTGGGTGATTACCTCAAAAGTTATATATATATCCCAAAAAAATAGAAGAAAATGTTTCTCTATGCTTTTCAATCTAAATATTTGCTGTTGCAGAGCTAATTTTTTTTCAATATTTTTCCCTTCTTTACCCTGTGTGTGGGGTGTGTGTGTGTGGGGAGAATTGAGGTCGCTCCAAAATGAAATTTTTTTTGTGCGTTTGTTTGGCCTCATTAATCCATGGTTTCATTTCCTTTTTAATTGGTTTTTTGTATACTATATGGAAATTTCAATGCAGCATTGTGATCTTCATCAGAAAATTATGCTAACCAGTTTGTACTCCAAAGGCATAACAGTCACAATGACGAAGCAAATGTTGAAGATGTATAAGAGAGGGAGAAAACCAGGTCCTCGTTTCTGTTATAGAGTACACAGTTTAATTGATGCAGGCGAAATTCCAAAATCAGGAGACACTATGAGATCAATGAAAACTAGATAATATAGAATTTGGAAAGCATCTTATTCAGAACTGACTTAAGAGCTGATTTATCTTTGTATAGTGATGCTATTTCAGTGCTTGGCTGAAGAGCAATCTTTCTCGGGCATTCTTAGTTATTTCAAGTGAATTTAGTGGGTCTATGTTTGTCCAACCTTAGCTTGATTAGTTAGCGCCCAAGTTTTTTTGGCTTCCAAGTACCATCTAAGAAAGAGATGTTTTTGCAGTGCCCATAGTAGCAAATAAAGACAGACTTGGACACTGATTATCCGTTATCTGCAATCTGCTCACTTACATCTGAGTGCCTTGGAGACTAGGTGTCATTGTCTTCTTGTTCCCTTCTCTTGTGACAGAGTATATTTTTCGCTGAGTTTGATAAAACTAAATTGTCAAATAGGCTTGCGGTTATCATCAAGAAAGCAGTATGCCATGATTGATCCAATTTTATATCTCTATTGTTATTGTTGATTGGTACAGACAGTACCAGCAATGAAGTATGAATGCTGTTTCTGCCGGAAGAGTGACCTGCAGGATTTTGGCTGCTTGATGGGGCTTGCTTTTTCATCTTTCATGATAATATCATGCGGTTCTCGTTGTGATAACAAAGACTGACAGCCATCTGAAGCAAAAAACAGACCGATGGCTTTGGTCGAAGGACATGATAGTTTTTATGAACAATGCTCCTACTCTAAATTTCGTTATCTCTGGGGGCAAATAACTTTGTCTGAATGTAATTTCCCATTAAAAATGGGAAACTCTCGAGATCTCTTTCTCTGATTCTGCTCGGCTCCGAACTTGATATTGTGTGGAAAATCTACATAAATCTGTCCTATTTATATTATAGAGCATTTTTAGGTCATGTCTAGGTCAATAAATGGATATTTCCTCTCTTGAGTGACTTTTTCTGTTACCACATTCTTTGGATTGGAATGCCTGAAAATCAGGGGACCGATCCTACTTAAACACTTCTGTCAACAGTCCTTTGGCCTCGGTGTTCTTTTGTCAGTGTAGCAGTCAAAACCAAACTGTTCCTTGTTTCAAATGTGCCTTTATCCTCGCTATTCCTTTTTTTTTTCAACTACTAACATCATATTATTATTTACTTGAAATGTTTCTACTTGCCTTGATGTGAGCGTGATTCCTCTATTGTGATCTATAATTAAATGTTTCTGATTGTTGCTACCCTTGCATGGTTTTCTTTTCCAGATGTTTTGTCGTGGCAGCAAGAATGATACTAGGGGTTTCAGGTAATGGTGTATATTATTTTTCATGCTTCAGATTCGATATAAGTACTCGTCTTCATAATGTCGTTTAGGATTTCACACTGTAGCTTACCCTTAAATCAGTTTGTAAGATTTTGTTGATATTATATTCATGCTACTTATTGTTAGTTATATGTTCTTAACCAGTGACATTAGTGTCTTAAAAGCCTCTAGTTACATAGCTACCATTTTAGAACCAGTATTATATGTTGATAAATTCAGATAAACTGTGTTTTTGCGAATGCATGTGCGAAATAGAAGTATTGTAGGAATGCTTCAACATAAGTTGAACTATTCATATGGATGAAGTTAAATGGAATACAAGAAAACGTCTTTGTTGACTTTATTGAAATTTGCACCATCTTATGTATCATTTCCATTAGGTAAGGTTTTATTTTCGTAGCTTTCAAGTTGTTAACATGTCTGTTAATCTATTGGTGTGATATGTCTTCTTGTCCATAGACTATGGAGAGATACATGCTTCGTCACTTTTGCTTGCACATCTAAATTTAAGAGATACATGATATAGGGAGTTGAGTTCTGATTACAGAAGTTGCTTGAAAGTAGTCAGAATTGAATTCTGTATGCAATGCAGTCCAAATAGAAATTCAAAGGCTACATGATAATGATGGACAAATGAGGTTCAGAATGGTAGCTTCAAATATAGATAAAATTTACTAAATCTAAATAGTAGACAAATTCTATTCAACTTCCAGCGAGAAAGGCTTGAAATTATCAAGCTTCAGGGTCAAAACAAATTACACTGTCGTGTGTTAGCATGAAGAGGAGAGGATGAGAAGAATATATCGTTGGTTCTCTACCTTATATGTATTGATGCTGACCCAGCTCTGGACGTAGTTGAAATTTCTAGCACATTCTGAACGAGATAGAACTCCAATAAAATGTTTTTTAATACATACAAGGGAGGGAACCAGTGAACATAAGAAAAATACAATTGAGAAAAACCATGTCTATGCTAAAGGCTAGATAAATTAGAACCATTACTTTTCTTTCTAGAACCAATTTTCTGCCTTTCGCACCCTTTAGGGCACTCCTCAATCTGGACCATATTTGTTTGTCTCATCAGATAGAAACATTCTTCTAAGAAGGAACAGATTGTATGTACGCAACCTGCCTGGTTGTGGTGGGGCGGATTTTTTCTTTTACAATAAGACCTAGATTATTATCCCTAGCCTTGGTAGCTTACGTGTTTACATCCATCCTGGTCAGGTACAGTTTCCTTTTGATTTCTCCCTTGTAGTCGTTACCGAGTGCTTAAGAATTCCTTGCTGCTTACAGAAGCCACTGCAGCTCCTGCAGCAAATGAAATTTGATTTGTAATCGGTAACCAATTATAATTCTTGCTGCTATCAGTATGCAGCATCCAAGCAGTAGGCAGCATCACAACCACGCACTGCACATTGACATGAGAATTGAGAGGGTTAAAAGTTCAGACCCTACATTATTCAAACCTACATGAATACATCTGGTAAACTTAAAAAGGGTATGTTTTCTTTCTGAAACAAATCAAAAGTTAAGATGAATAGTCTCCTAAAGTGTTTTAATCGAATAGTAATCATATTTGGCCAAAGTGTAGATAAGATGTAATAGGAACAATGGAGTGGTGGCGATAGTGTGGATCTGCATTGAATGGAGATGAGTTAGAAGAGAAATTAGAGATTACAGCAGCAGAATTGGTAGCTTTGGCAGTTGAGGCAACTACAGTGTTATTTCTGCTGCCAATATTTGTGAAGATGGATTTGATGACTTTTGATGATGATACATGGGCAAAAGAAGCCTAATAGCTTTCTTATACGTAAGAGCCATGTGATTATTGTTATATTTTGCTTACAAAGGCTTTAGACTTTAGTGTAAGCTATATTAAATTACAATGAGGTTATTGTTCTGATGTTACCATATGAGGACCGTTGGATAAATTCTTGGGCATTGAATACCCGATGCAGCATCAACAGTGTAACTTTTGCTTTTAACAATGATAAATAGTTGCCTTAAGACAAAAATCATGGTTCTTGTGTTCCATGGGATATAAGTAGCTATAAAACGCTATGATAGCGAAGGTTGTAGTTGTGGGTTCTCTGTGTGTGTGTGCGTGGGGGCACGTGTGACAATAACAAACATAATTTGAAGTGTAGCAAAATGACGTTTGTTGGTTGCATTAATTATTAACTATATTGTGCTTGCTAATTTCTTTTCCTTCTTTTTTTTTTTGTTTCTATTGTGTTAAGTCAGCCCCAATTCCTCTTAAAATGTAATGGCTTTTTCGAATTTTGATGCCCCCTTGGCTCCTTAAAAATTGACTCCAAAGTCAATATTCTCTTTACCAAGTAAGCTCTTGTTCTTTTGCAGTTGTGGATTGTGGGTTTTATTACACTCACTCTCAGTGAGGATGGATGATGGAGAGAGCCACCTCGCATTTGGAGCTATATGTGATTTTATTCACAACTTCTTCATTTGTGAGGAATGCTGCCAGCATTTCTATGAGATGTGTTCAAGGTAAAAAAGCTACTGAATGTTCGTATTTGATTCCTAAAGCTCAGGTCATCTGACTCTAAATATTCTACTTTGCAGTGTTTCTAGTCCTTTCAACAAAACCCGTGACTTTGTCCTCTGGTTGTGGAGTGCACATAATAAAGTCAATGAGAGATTAATGAAAGAAGAAGCATCTCTTGGAACCGGTGATCCTAAATTCCCAAAGATTATTTGGCCTTCAAGACAGCTTTGCCCTTCTTGCTATCTTGCCGAAAGCCGGAAAGGCAATGGAAATAGTCAGATTGATTGGGACCATGACGAGGTCTTCAAGTTATTGACTAGCTATTATGGGAAGATGCTCGTAACTCTAACCAAGGACAAGGGACTTCTCGCTGAGGGTGGGTCCAGCAGGGCGCTTGCTGAGGAGGCAATAGCTTCAACACATGCAATTGTGGTGCCAGTTGGGGCTGCGTTTGCAATTGCTGTTGCGAGCTGTGCATTTGGTGCACTAGCTTGCTTCTGGCGTTCACGCCAAAAGAATCGAAAGTATTTACACCAACTACACTCTTTAAAGAACATATGATTTTTTGGAGGGTAATGAGCTCTTACAAAGTAGATTAAAGAGCAAAACAATCTTTTTTAAAAAAACTAAGAAGGAAGAGAAATACTTCCATAAAAACAGAGAGTGGGGTTGTGTTTGGGGGGAGGTTGATATTCTCATTTATTTTTGTTCCACCAACATTTCAGGCCAAGGAGAAGCTGGAACTGAGATTGTTTACAGGACGGAACTACATATGGCCATTGATTAAGGTACACATACAACTGAAAATCGAGCTCTGGATAGGAAACAGTATGACAGCGTTGAATCAATTACCCAGCGACCTGCTTGAAGGTCTTCTGTATCATTTCTCAACCCTTTTCTTTTTACATTATAAAGTGGAATGTACAGATTTTTATCTCTTTCAAGTTTTGGAGAATGTAAACAAATTTTCCTAGAGCTTTTCCTTTTTTTTTTTCCAGATCGTGATTGTATCTTTGTAAGTTTGAGGTCTGACTATTTGTTTTGAGTGCTAGCAGCCATACTTTGTAGGTAAAATTTGTAAGAATGCTTGTTCAACCTGCAGGTTCACCCTATTGACTCGGGTCTGGCTCCTCTCAGTTGGGTGGAGCTATAACCCTAGTGCAACATACACGCTTCAGAGAGTCTACCTATAATTAAACTGTGTGGGCTCTGGATGCAACAAGGGTTTGTGGTCTGTTGGCAAAAGCATTGTGGGTAGAAGTTTTAGTTGATTTTATCGGTTTGATGGAGTAAATATAGTTCTCTATAGATGCTTGTGGGCAAACTGCTAAACAAAGGGGTTGGTTTGCTTTCCACCGAGCTTCGAAAAACGGCACAAAAACAAAGGATAGCAACTTTCTGGGCTGATTCAGCATTTAATTTCCAGGTTTAATTTCTTCTATGTTGTGATTGTTAAACATTTTTCACTCATGTTCACTGTCTCACACCATAGGGGTTATGCTATCCATCAGCCTATAAAGACCACCAAAACATTGTATATGAAATAAATTATCAATTACATGCTCCGGAGGCTGCATTGTGTCCAAGTTACCATTTCATTGATCCGACATGAAATAAATTATCAATTACATGCTCGAAAAGCATTAGTAAATTTCTTAGATTGAGAATGGTTCATGCCCATCATCCATTCGGAAGGTAAAAATTCAAAAGATAGCCCACCATTATAAATGGGTCTCTGATTTGGCTTTGTTTAGTTTGCATTTCAAAATATCAAAAAAAGAGAAATGTAATGAATGAAATTTACTTCTATTATCCCCAAAAAGAGATCATTTTCCCGGTGGATGAGAAACTAAGACTTTGTTTGATTTGCTTCTCAAAAGATGGTATCTGAAAATTATTTTTGGTATTTTTTATGTCACACAATTTATTTGATTATATGATTCAAAAAATAGTTTTACAAAATTGAAAACATTAAAACTTATTTGGATAGTAAACTAAAAAACAATAAAAACAAAAATGTGATAATTGTGGTATGGTGGACATGGTGATGGTGATGGGAGTGTGGTGGTGTTGGTGGGAGTGTGGTGTTGGTGGTGGGTGGTGATGATGGAAGTGTGGTAGTGTTGGCGTGGTGGTGGTGGTGTTGGTGGAAAGGTGGTGGTGGTGTTTTCTAAATTTTGGAAAGATTATTTTAAAAAATACACAAAATAGTTATAACTTGTTTTCTAAATATATTTAATTTTTAGTTTTAGTTTTCAAAAAACAAAAATAAAAGATGAGGTCAAAGGAGTTTGGAGGATAAAGGAAAGTGAGACTAATAGTGAGATAAATGTTATTGCCACCACTAAGCAAGGTCAAAATTTCTTCAAAAGCCAAGTAGAATCAGTTGACAACCAAATGGAAAGCAAGAGGGATGAATTGGATAAAGAGGATGAAATGGACAACTTTGTCTCGTACGAATCAGAGCAATCGATGGATGAAAATTGAATGGAATTTGCCTCGGCAAAACTTGCAAAAACTAAGATGTTACATGGATATAAAACAAGATCTTGCAAATCATCAATAGGGCAAAAGTCTTATGCAAAGATTGCCATTAGATGACGCAAATGACGGCAGTGGAAGCAGGTGAAGCAAGCATTTTGGTTTTTTGTTTCTCTAGCCTTGAATTTTGGGTTTAAAGTTTATTCTTTTCTTTATTATCAGCCTTCTAGTCTTTGTGTGTTTTGACTAAGTTGAGAGTTACCCTGTATGACATTCGGGCGAGTGTCAAGTCTCGAAGCTTGATTTTTCCTTTGTACTCTCTTTGCTCTTTGCTCTTAATCTTAATTTTACTTAGCAAAAATAAAAAAAACTAAAAAAAAACAGACCAAACAATTTTTTTTTTAGAAATTGTTTCCTATTTTTAGATATGGTTTTTATATATAAACCAAAGAGGACCTAATTATTCTACTCTAAACATGACTTTTTATTTTAGTGCTAACCTAATAAGCTATATAAAGCGAACATTATAAGTTATTTTTTTTTTTTGGGAGTGGGAGGGGGAGGGGGGAGGGAGAACTTGAATCTTTGACCTTAAGAAGACAAAATCTTGACAACATAAGGAGTACCATTAGACAAAAGGTCTGTTGGTCGAACATTATAAATTTAAATTCCCTCAATTTTGTAATGAATATGAGAAAAAAATGGACTAACAAGAGGCAAAAGTACTCTGGCAACCTTTCCACAACTTCTTGTAAAAATTCCAAATCCACATTGTACAATATCAAACGAGACTCAAACAATGCATGATTGAAAAAATGCTACCATGAGGAGTCTATTACCAATCTACCTCAATTATAAAACTTATTTACCAATTTATTGTCGTTTTCAACTTATTTACCAAACTATTGTTATTTTAAAAACGGATTTGACAAATCCGACTTCATGGGAAAAGTGAATTTGACAAATCCGACTTCATTTGGAAAGCGGATTTGATAAATTCGACTTCATAGGAAAAACGGACATATCAAAGACTTGATCTCTTGGAAAATTATTTCATGTCTGAGTTGCCAAATGAGTTGGGAAATTTGTCTCAACTAGTAACTTTTAATATTTTATCTAATTTTCTTTCTGGGAGGATACCACCCGAAATTCTTGATTTTATATATTTTCACCCTAAAAAATAAATCACTCATTTTTATCATATATTTAATTATTTAATATTTAATTAATTTGTAATTAATATATTTTAAAAAAATTTAATATAGTAAAATCGATTTTTTGGATGCTCGAATTTTATATTTTATTGTACTTTCAGGCACGAGTTATAACTAATAAATTTATATAGAATCTATTAGCGGATTTTTAACGACTAATAAAGATAAGTAATTGATTCACAAAGAATATAAAATCAGAGAGACCAAATGTATTCAATAAATAGCAAAATACTCTTTTGGTGATCAACACAATTATACATATAAAAGCTTGCACCTTGGGTTTGATAAGTCTTCTTTTCATATAAAAGCGAATTTGGTATGTCCGCTTTCCATATAAAGACGAATTTGGTATGTCCGCTTTTCCTATAAAGTTGGATTTGCCAAATCCGCTTTTAAAACAACGATAGTTTGATAAATAAGTTGAAAACGACGGTATAATGATAAATAAGTTTTCCCACATTTTACAATATTGTTCGTTTTATGGTGGGGCCACATGACTTCACACTACGGCATACACTGAAACTCACACTTATCAGAAGCTTCACACACAGTTTATCATGTCATGGGGGTCTACATAACATCAAATTTTATAGGTATACAAGTGCAGTGTCATGGGAAAAGATCAATATTTCATTGCTTTTCATATTCTTTCTACCTGTAACATTCATATATACAGATGGATATATGCAGAACATACACAAATTTTGGAGAAGGTTCAGTGAAGGATCTGTGCCGGTGAACCTGCACGGTAACTGTAAGCTTGAAGGGTTGCCTGTGGATCTAGATAGTAAGGGATACACGTTTGCCAAAATAAACGCAATCTGGCTGCGTCCCTGTTCAGTTGGACCACCACTTTCAACTTTCAATGTTGGTAAAAGTTGTCAACATTCAACAATGTAAGCCAAAGTAAAGATTCGAAGAGCAATTAAACCCAAAGCCAATTTCGTCAAGATAGCAAGAAAAACAAATCAGTGAACACGAATGATATGGTGCTGATGCTGTAGAATTGGGGGGCTAGCTGCTTCATCTGATGAAGTGAGGGTAGCAGCCTGCTAAATGTCACCGAAACATGAGATAAGTAAATGTGTAACAGTAACACAAAGGAAAATATAAAGAGAGTAACAAGCCAGATTATATGCTCACCTGTTGGCCTCGGCGATGATGGAGAGCGTTCACTGCTTTCATTATAACATAGCTTGGCAAGATAATACCCAAAGTTCGTACAAGTAACAACTGCCAAACAAATTGACAAATATATCATTAGTTCTGTATGATCTAACATTTCTTATGTCCGAAAAGTATCTTACAACTGTTCTTGCTATTACTGTAAGCTGCCATATCTTACCATGAGCAATGAAAAAGGGTCTGTTTGTGCTCTGTTAGCTATGATGGGAAGAGTATGCCGCAGAACTAGGAGAACCATTAACTGCACACAAAAAGCAAACTAGAATCAGAAGGATATACGGTGAGAATGCTAGCATTGATTCAGTTAATCTCAGAGCCATAATTCTTCTTGACTGTAGTATTACGAAGCATTTATACTTCCCATAGGTTGTTGTGGCAGTTCCAATCAATTGCGGATAGGTGCCAGATATTTTTTGATTACCTATTGATGCACGCCTACGCATCTTCTCAGAATATTCATAAATTTTGGATACATCTGGGATAATTGGAATTACAGTTTAGCATACGAAATTATGTTAAGAAAATCTATTCACCCTCACATTGACTCATCAACACATCCTTCTTTTGGAATTTGATCACTGATACAGCACACATCTCTAAGACTTTCTATCCATTCATTGTTTCGTAGGACTGCCCCCAAGCTCCGTCCCAGGCTACAAAACATCTCACACTCTTGCTGATTTTGGAATGATCGCCCCAAATGGATCATATCTCTTCCTCTCATGCAGTTTGTTAAGTCATCTCCAAAAGGAAAAGTTGCATTCCAACTGAGAAATTCTTTGCTGATGTCGTACTGCATCTTAAAAACTTGATCATCCCAAGCATGTTTCCTATTTTGAAGTTTTTTGCAATGACATACTTTCTAATAATGTCTCTTTGCAAGTACCTTCAAAACCAAGATATAATTTCATACTTAATTTTTCTTTTTCATTTATTTTTTTGCCTTCAAGAATTTCTTTCGAACATAAAAATTTAAGCCTTAATATGATACGGCGATAAATTAGAAATGAGAGAGAGAGAGAGAGAGAGATTACGATTATGGCAATCGAACGACACCACATCAATCTTCTTGATGCAGAAGCTTCGTATTCGTCAAAGTCAGGATCAAGGAAAGTGCGATCAGTTGAAACCATTGTTATTACGCGAGGATTATTCACTTCTCTCCTTGCAATCTCCCAATTTCCCCTGTAAAAATGGTGCAGCAGAACATTGCTGAAGTCGTTTAATGCCATACTAAAGAGCGGGATTAACAAGAATTGCAGTTATATTATGTGACTAGCATATACGATAGATATTAGAAAAAATAAAGAAGTACCTCAAGTTCACTGGAATACCTCCAATGCGAGACATAGGTGGTGGAGCTGTATAACCTGGCTTGAATTGCTGAATACATTGACATTAAATAAATAGACCAATAAACAAGTTCCAGGAAAGAATAAGAAAAATTAGCTAAGACTGCAAGAAAATTCAAATGCACTAGCCCACCTGTTGGCATATCTCACATACAGTGTCACCCTTCTCATTACACCACTTTTGTATGCATCTGCGATGAGCATACTACAAAATGCAGACATGAACATTGTGAGTCACCAAAGGTATATTTATGTAGAAGATATGTGTGAAAAAATATAACTAAATGAGGACACATTTTGACAGAACTTATGAGAGAGAAAAAATGTTGACGTGCAAAACAGAAAGAAGGAAATAACATTCGAAAGACAACTAAGAAGCACCAAAGATTCTTGGGCTTTAAATTTTTGTCACATCTTTGCAAGAACATACATTTAACAGCACGATCAAACAGAGGAAAGAATAATTCATAACTTAGAGAATTTGAGATATAATAGGGACAACAGAAGAGAACACATCAACATCGAATGAGTAACTGGGGCACGATGCAATATTCAACTTGAAATCACACATTTAAGAGATAGTTGACATGCAAACTCCCATTGCAGCAATCAAAGTCAAGGTCAGGTGCCACATTTCCAATACCATTTCAAGAACTGAAATCTGTAAAAAGAGGCTCCCAGGCAAGAAATTAATCTGGAACTCTAAAATCTATAACAAACCTCAGTCAAATTCCAATCTCAGTCATAGAATCTGAGTTACCTAAGAACCATGAGATAACCAGCATATAACTGATGAAACCAATGAGAATCTGAAGAAATTTGCAACGAGAAGATAAAAAAAGATCTATGAGAGCAATAACACATCACAAAGATACTAGTCAAACCATTCTTATTTAGGTTCATAAGAATTAGCGATGTAAAATTGTTTGAAGAACTACCATTAAAGCTTCAGTAAACTAAATACTTAGAGAATCATAAGGTACACCATTGTAATATTTGGAAACATTTTTTAAGGTTGCACAGTAGAATGCTTGGACAAGAAAGCACTATAACTCTCTAACTAGTAGCTGGAATAAGCAGAAGAAGGGAGGTATAAAACAAAATTTGCCTTCTTGGTTTATGCCTCCATGCTTTTTTTTTTTCTTCACTTGAAATAATCGTGAGTAAAAGGAGATACAAACTAAGTGTAGAGCCCCCGTATATATAGTCAATGAGAGTTACAATAAGGACAAAAAGGTAAAAAATGAAAACTTAATAAAACCCTAATAAACTAGAATGCTGCTATATCTCCAACACTCCCCCTCAAGCTAGGCGCAAAAATGTTAACTAAGCCAAGCTTGACAACGGAGTCCCGAAGAATAGACAGAGTGACAGGTTTGGTAAAAACATCTGCAACCTGATCACTGGTCCCCACAAACGATGGAGTGACAATATCACTGCTAACCTTCTCCCGAAGAAAGTGAACATCGATCTCTATATGTTTCGTCCTCTCATGTAGTACAGAGTCAGAAGCGAGCTGAATAGCAGATCGATTATCACAATATAATGTGGATGGAGAGGTCACTGAAAAACCCAACTCGCCAAGAATCGATCGTAGCGAGATAATCTCACACGTGCCAAGTGCCAGTGCCCGATACTCTGCCTCTGCTGACGAGCGGGAGACAACTGCCTACTTCTTGCTCTTCCAAGAGATAAGATGAGTCCCTCGAAAAGCATAGAAGCCCGTAGTAGATCGACCATCACATGTTCCCCCATAATCTGAATCTGAATAACAGGCTAGAGAACTGGTCTGAGATCCTGATGCATAAAACAACCCAAGTCCAGGACAAGACTTGAGGTACCGAAGAATATGATAAACTGCATCAAGATGAGGTTGACATGGCCTGTGCATGAACTGACTAACTCGGCTGATTGCAAATGAAATGTCTGGCCTAGTATTGGCTAAGTAGATAAGTCTACCTACCAATCTTTGATAAACTGTCGGATCTTTCAACTCTTCACCCTCAGCAGTAAGCTTCAGGTTTGGAATCATGGGTGATGATGCCGGTTTGCACCTCAACATCCCAGTGTCTGAAAGAAGATCCAAAACATACTTTCTCTGAGAAAAAACAACACCCCTGCCGCTATGGCAACCTCAATCCCAAGAAAGTATCGCAGAAATCCAAGGTCCTTCACATCGAAGGCCTTCCCAAGGTCTATCTTGACCTGCGCAGTCCCAAAAATATCATCACCAGTAATAATAATATCATCAACATATACCAGAAGGATGACACACTGTCCAGAAGTATTCCGTCGAATAAAGCAGGTATGATCAGAATGACACCTGGTGAACTCCAATCGTACGACTACATCACTAAAGCGAGAGAACCAGGCTCGTGGCAACTGTTTTAGTTCATAAAGAGACTTACGTAGTCGACATACCTTTCCAGCATACTCCCCCTCACCACGAAAGCTCGGTGGTGCATTCATATAAATAATCTCGTCCAGATCACCGTGAAGAAACGTATTCTTCACATCTAATTGATGAAGAGACCAAGAGTACTCCGCAGCCAGAGAAATAATCAACCGAACAGTAGTCAATTTTGTCACGGGGGCAAATGTAGCACCAAAATCACGACCTGGTACCTGAGTAAAGCCCTTCGCCACAAGTCTGGCCTTGTGACGATCAATAGTACCATCTGCAAGAAACTTCAGGGTGTAAACCCAGCAACAGCCAACAGGCTTCACCCCTGAAGGTAAGGAGACAAAATCCCATGTATGATTACGCTGAAGAGCGTCCATCTTTTCTGCATGGCAAGAACCCATTGGGGCTCCCGCATAGCCTCCGAAATAGAGCGAGGAACCGGCGTATCTGATAAGGCCATAGTATAAGCTCAAAATATGGGAGACAGATCACCATAAGAAACATAAGCAGAGATCGGATATAAAATCTTGGCGGTCCAACCATAACGATCAACTGGACGACAATCACGCCGCGGATAACGACCCCCTAAATCATACTCCTCCACTGATAATGTCTCATCAGGTAAATGAACTGGCTCAGCACCTACAATCTCATCAGTACTAACAACAGGTGCATCAATATGCTCAACAAACTGAGAAATATTACCTGCATCGCCTGAGGTAGAGGGGACATCAGCAGGGTGATGAGAGCAAGGGCGACGAACATACACCTGCAAAGGAAGAGAGACTGGTAACTCTGTACTGACAGAGATGAGTGGCTCTGAAGGAGGAGAATCAGATAACCCTATAGGGATAATGGCCAATGACTCTGACTCCTGTGGTAATGAAAAATCAAAGGGAGTATTATCAACTGGAGGGGCAGACACAGGACTGGGAGGAAAATAAGGAATATGCTCAAGAAAGGTAACATTTAGACTGTGATACATACGGCGCCTGATAGGATCATAACACCGATATCCCTTAGATTGATGACAATAGCCCACAAAGATACAACGAATCGCTTTATCATCAAGTTTATGACGAGTAGGAGATTGATCCTGAACAAAACATGTGCATCCAAAAACACGAAGGGGGGCCGGAAAAAGTGTCCGCTCAGGAAATAAGACCTGTAAGAGAGCCTTATGCTGAAGAACACGACTCGGCGTACGATTGCACAGAAAGGTAGAAGTCAAAATAGCAAAATGCTAATAAGATTTTGGTGCCCTCATGCCTCTAAACACACAACGTACCATCCCTATCAAACTCTTATTTTTCCTTTCAACAACACCATTTTGCTTAGGAGTATATGGACAAGTAAGTTACTGAAGAATACCCTGAGAAGAAAGGTGAGACACTAAGGCATCAGACACATATTCTTTGGCATTATCCGAACGAAGAGCACGAATAATGACATCGAATTGTGTCTTAATCATCTGTAAAAACTGAGTAATTATAGGAAGTACATCAGACTTTCTATGCAAAAGGTAGACCTAAATACAACGGGTATGGTCATCTATAAGTGTCACATAATATCGAGCACCTGACAAAGCAGTAACGGGAGAGGGTCCCCAAATATCAGAGTGTATTAGGTCAAATGGCTTAGGTGACTAGTACATGCGAGGAATATAACTGGCCCTAACATGTTTCGATAGGGAACATATAACACAGTCAAATTTACCACCAACACAAGCATTGCTTAAAGCAGGAAACAACATACATAAATATTTAAAATTTGTATGTCCAAAACGGTCATGCCACAACTGAACAGTTTGTGACGAAAAATCATAACGACGACTACTAGGTAAAATACTAGCATGCAAGTTAGGAACAGAAAAAGACAAAGCAGGTGCAGGTGATGTAGGTGGAGGAATTGATGAAACTGGAGGTGGATTGCCAAGATAATATAGTCCATCTTTCTCATGTCCCCTGATAATAATCCTCCTAGTACTCAGGTCTTGCAAATAACACGAATCAGATAAGAATACAACCGCATAGTGAAAATCTCTGGCTAACTGATGTACAGATAATAGATTCATGGCCAACTTTGGCGCATGAAAAACCGAACGTAATGTAAGGTCATCTGGGAGGCGGACTATATCCCTACTAACAATAGGGGCATGTGTCCCATCTGCTAACTGAACCTGTGTATGTGACTGCTCGTCAAAAGTGGTAAAGTGATGGGCCTCACCTATTATGTGACCATTCGCACCCGAGTTCAACATCCAAAGAGGAGATGAACTGGCACAAGCGTGAAAGGCACGAGGTATACCTGTAGTGGTGATAGCAGCAGTAGTCAGACTCTGAGAAATCAGAGCAGACATAAGTATATCTAATCGGGAAGTGATAGCATCCATATCACTCTGCCAAGGTGGAGCAGCAGCAGCAAGAGTAGCGGTAATGAGTGGTGGTACCTCAGCAATAACAATAGTATGGCTACG